TAGATGGAGAATCTTCTGTTCAATAATGTTTTGTGTGGTGTTTTTGAGCCGATGGAGCCACCATAACACTGGTTCTCAGAGAGACGGAGGCTTGCTTTGGGGTTTCCGACCAAGACTCGTTTATGCTGGTTCAATTTGACCGTAAAAAATATTCAAACCGAATCCACGGACTTTCTTCTGTCTTACAATAACTAAATCCCAAATAGTCTTGTACTCTATTCAAAGTATCCAATGTGCCCAGCACATTTGACACGTTTTCCCGTGTCAAAACTTGTTATAATTATTTACAATCGCAATAAAGGGCTTTATAGTATTTCACTGTAATACACTTGTAGTGAGTCATTAAACTGATGATAGACGATGGATATCGTCCCAAATATCTTACTCAAAAAACTTCTAGTCACTCTTTTCATATATAAACTTTTGGTCGCAACAGGCTTTAGTTTGAATAATTTAAAAAAAAATAAGTCACAAAACACAGCAACATTTTCCTAATGCGATAAGAGAATATTATTTTTTAAATTTACTATGCAGAGGTTTTGGACATAAAAGAGTTTAGTAAGAAAAAACATTAATATAACTCTCCAAATGCATGTCATAACAAAATCAAAAAATGTTGATTGTTCTATGCGGTATCTCATAAAAAAAAATACATTGAAATAAGTTCCGGTTTTTAAATATCGCTAAATATCGTGATATCTTAGGATCTCTCGTTAGTTATTGTATATCATATTTGTTAAAAATCGCTCTTGGTCCTCAATTCTAGACTCATTTGTCACAAATTTTGAACCCAAAGTGGAAGGCTATGCTGGATGAGTGGAGCTTCCAAGTGAGATTGTCGATTGTAAACAACTCAGATTACAATCGATACTCGTTCAAGAAGCAAACTCAACAGTCAAATGTTTTTCAGACTAGTAGCCAATATTTTACTGACTGAAATTGAAATTGAAAATGTGACCATATCCACTGCTAGAACAAATCTGAAGTGAGCTTTCTGTGCCTGAACATCCCATATTTGAAAGCCACACCTGTCCCTCGTGCAAAGTACCAAAAAGTACCTTGTCTAAAAGCAATCTTGGCATCCCTTATTTCAAAGTTCATCACACACTGTCTCCCTCCCCCCCTCCC